TTGCAGTAAATTCACTGACTGACTGCAAGTCCATTAACATATTACATTTTACATTTTTTATATTTTTGCATTTTTGTATAATTACCATTGTTCATAATATCACACACACACATAAATAAATAAATAAAAATCAAGCTTTCATTTCATGTACTCTTGGGGGCCAGGAATGCTGTTATCTTAAAGATCCCTCACATTCCACTAAATGGCAAAGACGACATCTAGCAGAGATATGGGATCTGAGGAGCTGCTTGTTTGTAGATGTCTCATGACGTCATGGAACACTGTAAGATATCAGTATCACAAAAATAAATAAATAAAGAGGTTCAAGGAATTTTCAACTGGACTTTGAGTTTTTTCTTAATGTCACCATTGTTCATATGATGATTCATATGCTGCATGTTGATTTCTGTGTGTCTAAATAATATAGTAGTTCAAAACTTTTTTGTGCAGAACATGTTTTTAAAAATCCTGAATACCTGATTGGTGCAACACTACTGGCTTTCATGCTGCAGTATCACAGGGTTGGTAGAGCAAAATTAATGGAACAACACACTTATGATCAGTATTTAGGATTCAGATGAGATCAGTGAATCAGACCACTTCATGATGCTTATATTACGATCAATAATTAGCCATCATCACCTGATCACATTTAGTCTTGGCTTTTTTGCTACTGCAGACGTGTTTTATAAACAGTTACAGCAGCCATAGAAAACAAAAATATAAAAGTCAAGGTCAGATGAACACAGCACAAGTGCCATCATTCAGTTTGTCGGCCAGATCTGGAACTAAACAATGTTGCTATCTGGGATTATTTCTATTCTTTCCGACAACAAAACATGTGAACGTGACAAGCTGGTAATCATGGCTTCAGAAGTGGGAAGTAGGACATTTCTCATGTACACCATGAGTCCAAGACAGTTTTATGATTATTTCATTCATTCACCTGACGCAAACATAGTATTTGAAGTGATATTATGTGAGAACATTTTTGGCTTTCTCTGTCTCTCTGCACCGGCATCAGGCGAAACTGGAAGTGTCTATGCACACACTTGTTAGACTGGAAATCTAACATGGCCACCATATGCAACTACCCCATTAGAAATGTGTGTACCTTTTTAAAAAAAGATGTTGGTATCTATTATAGCATCTTGCACAAAGCTTAAATGTTGTAATTGTTATTAAGACATATTGGCTTTGTTACTTAATGCCTTGAGTAAGTGTAGAGGAAGTCAACCTTTCATATTACTTTCTGTGAAAAGAGTACATTTTTAGCAAACAATCCGTAGAATTCAGAAGACAAACCATCAGTCCATTCTTGGAAATGTGTTGAGTTTAAGATGACTAATGGCATCAGTAATGTTCTCCAAACAGGGACAGATCACACGTGCAAGTCTGTCCCACTAATTTCACAACTACTGTAGGTAGCAAATTTAAAAAGTGTTGCTCAAAAGAGTAACTATGACTTGTGGAAAGTATAGAGCAAAATTGCAACATTGTATTGTAGAAGAGATAATAGTAAATTCAAGACTTTAGTTCGAGGCATTAAGATGCACTTTACATTTCACAGCCTGACTTCAAAAGCATCTCAATTGTTATTCAAAATTAACTTTTAAACTGTATATTTGGCATCTGTAAGGAAGATGTTTGTCATATTAAGACATTTAAATGGGTTTAGTTTAGAAAGATGAACATTTTAACCCAACAGACATTAAGATTTCATCTTAATTTATTTGGTCTTGAACATAAAGTTTATCCTCATATTGTATTGGTCTGTGTGTATGCTGCTCTAAGACTCGTATTTGGAGTTTTTCCAAGCCCTGCATTTAGTTTGAGTGTACACTGCACCATTGTATTTAGTGCTTCAAAAATAAAGATTCATCCATTAACATTAACCCGTTTGTCACACACTTTCAGTTATTTTTCTTTAGTTTCTGTTTTCATGGACTTCTAGTTTTTCATTAATCCCTGTTGTCCTTTTTTCTAGTTTCCCACCACATGTTATTCGTCATGGTCAGGTGACTTGTGCTACAGTAGACCTTCTGTTGGTTTGAGCTTTGACAGCCCAACACCCTGTTGCTGGTTTGTCCCACCTCAGACCACTGTTGGTAAATGCTCAGCACTTCTGACCAGGAGCAACCCACAATAATTTACCGACATATCTGTCTATAATACATTCCACTTTTATGAAAAGGGTCCGTGATCAAACAATCTACTAGAATGTTTCGCTCTTTCAACATTCAAATAATCCATTAGTAATCAGATTGATGGCTCAGTCGGACAGAAAAGTCTTCATGCAAACACCTCACTCAATCCGACAGAACTCAAAAAGATAAAAGATTACTATAAAAAGAGAAATAATACAACCTAATAAACAGAATATATTTATAGAACGAACAGACAAAGTATCTCAAAATTAACTTACATATGAGATGAATGATTATTTATGTATTTTCATATATGACCTGTTTTAGGTGATAAATGCAGAATTTGGAAATGCTGCTGGGTTTCTTGATGCCGTATGGGCTGATCATAAGCAATTACGTGTGTATAGTGTGTATAAATGTGTCTGTTTGCATGAATATTTATTATAGATACCTTGAAATGGGATCATCATATCTTGATTATGACTTTCCTGCACAGATTGCTGGGACTTTCCATGAATCAGAGGAATCGGGATCAAGAAGAGAAAGAAGAGGTCGACCATCTAAGAGACAGAGTCTGATTTCACCACTTCCGCTAATGCAGGTTTGAACATTAGAGAAATAGGAAGGGACCACAGTCTTGTCTGGCTTGTTTTGGGGTCTTGGCATTTTTCTTTATACATTTTATATAGGTTAGACTGAATGATACTGTTACTGAGAAAGTTACTCTACAGTATCACTTACATTGTGCTCATTCTACATGCACTGAAGAATATTTACTTAAAGGGTTAGTTCACCCAAAAATGAATATTAGCCCATAAATTACTTACCCTCAAGTCATCCTAGGTGTATATGACTTTCTTCTTTCTTCTATATGATTTTAAATATGGTCTTTGATCTTTCAAGCTGTTTAATGCCACTCAGCAGGTGTTGCATGCTTCAGTCCAAAACAAGTGAAATAAAAAGCGCCCATCCATAAAAAAAAGTGTCTCACGTGGCTCCGGGGGGTGAACAAAGGCCTTCTGTAGCGAATCGATGTGTTTTTGTAAGAAAAGTATCCATATTCAAAACGTAATAATCACTTTAATGTAGCTTGCGCTCACTATTGTACACTGAAGCAGTTCCGGGAGCATGACGTATGAGGTCAGCGTTGCGCATGCGCCGGTGAGTCTCGTGAAAACCAACGTGTGTTAACAGGAGCAAAGGAAGCAAAGTTTCCTTACTTTAGCAAATAAAAAACATTCTTCTTTACAAATCCTCGTTTTGTACTTCTAATTAGTGACCGTTGTTTTGTTTTGATCTCTCCGCTGTGCTTCTGCGTGCGTCAATTCTGAGCAGTGCATGCGCAACGCGGTTGCATGCTTCATCAGCCCGGAACTGCTTCCATGTACAACAGTGAGAGCAAGCTACATTAAAGTGATTATTACGTTTTGAATATAGATATTTTTCTTACAAAAACGCATCGATTCGCTACAGAAGGCCTTTGTTCACCCCCCAGAGCTGTGTGAGACACTTTTTTTATGGATGGGCGCTTTTTATTTTGGACTGATGCATGCAACACCTGCTGAGTGCCATGAAGCAGCTTGAAAGATCAAAGATAATTTTTAATATAACTCCAACTGGATTCTTCTGAAAGAAGAAAGTTATATACACCTAGGATGACTTAATTTGTAAGTAATTTGTGGGCTAATTTTCATTTTTGGGTGAACTAACCCTTTAAAAGTGAACGTGATTGCCAAGTAGGACATGTTTTCTGGATAAACGTCCTTGTTGGTTCTGGATCAACATCCCTATCAACCAGTCAGATTTCCAGATTGGGTTTCAGGCTAATGTTAGGGTATAAGACTACGTGAATCACCATGTTGTTTTCTTGTTTTAGCAGCGCTCATACTACACCAGAAGGTGCACAAACTTTCTTTGGCCAAGAGACAACCCCAACCACACTGTTAAGTATACTGCAAATACCACTTATTTAGATGTTAAAAACATTTTTCTTGTTAGTTTATTAGTGTAAAACAATTATGATCAAATGTTCACCTTGCATTCATTTACATGATATGTTGTTGTTGTTGTTGCATCGCTCACACTATTACAAGATTATATGGTGATAATATCAAACAGGTTTAAAAACATCACAGCATCTCTGACTGCTCAGATCATGTTGCTGAACTGCTCATACTTAAGAAACATTGCAGACCATAAGAGCACCGATTTGGACACACAGTCTTGCCATTGGTTTTGTTTACCGTCAATGTAAGCACATGACAAGAATGCAGAACTTCCACTTACATCCTCATTCATGCAGAGACACATAGGAGAGCAATCTTTTTAAAGAGATTAAAAAAACACAAGTCCCTAGCATACAGCCTTGTCATGAATTTGCCTTTCAAACTTTGTTTACAAGTAAATAGGTTTGGTTGTTTGTTTTAATACAGTTCAATTCTTTGGCACACTTTTTTTTCCATTGATATTGGGTTAATATTTGTTTCAGTTTGACATTGCATTCATCCAAGAAATATATTGAATGCAAAAGCAGAGCCCTTTGTATTGTATGTATTATATAGCATGTGATTTTGTATTATGTGTACAGTGGACTGATGTTAATTAAATGCTTTTGATGTCTATTCTACGGTGGCCCAGTAGTGCACAACACAATTAAATTAAAAAAGCAAACATAAGCTCAAAACACAATGCAATTAAAAAATCAAACATAAGCTCACAACACAACGACATTAAAAAAGCAAGCATAAGCTCACAAAACAATTTTGAAAAAAAGAAAGAAATTTGGGAAAAAATAAAACGGATTTCATAGGGCCTTAGATTTGGAACAGAATAGCTGCTTTGTAAACTGTGGAGTATAATGTGAGAGATTTCTATGACAATGTTTTTGAAGCAGGAAAAACAGAGAAAAGTTCAGTGGGTTGCTTCATGAAGTACAGGGCATTAAAGGAGAAGGAGAGGAAAACCTTTACAAAGAAAAATCATGACTCTGAGGGATGAAGACTATTGTAACTTCCATTTCATAATTACTTCAAATTAAAGGATAGATAGTATTATCAGTACCCTTATATTGAAAATATTTTTCCTATGGAATTTAGAGCAGTGCTGAATTGAGGAATTGTAGATATTAACTAGTTTAAACGTCATGATTATCTTTTAATCAGTCAGTTTTTATAAATATTTTATAAATTAGTCACTCACCCATATTAAAGCCTATTTTAATGTTCAGTTTGTGACATTTTTGTTTATTATTTTCATGTATAGATTTACATTGGAATTATGAAAAGACATGATGGTGTTCTAAAGCCCATGAGAGGGAGGAGCCTGCCTCTTGAAGTTCAAACAAACTGGTCATCTGAGCAAGTGTTAATAGCTGGTGAAAAGAAAGTAAAAGATTTTAATCAGGACATGGAAGAGGGCCCCTATGTTTTACTGTACCCAGATTGTTCAGAGGTTAAAAATATTCCAGGAACAAACACCCCTTTTAAACTACAGCTGTACAAAGAGGCAATTGGGAAGACTTACCAAAGAATAACACTGTTCATATGCACAGTTCAAGACTTTTCAGCCACTGGTGAGCATATTTAATTTAAAGTAAATCTTACATAGACATGTTTAAAACACTATATACACATGGTTTTAAATCAAAGTGAAATTTCCTTATGTTCATAATTGTTGTTTGAAGACCGTAATGAGGATTCTTCTAGTGAAGACAGTGAAGTGCAAGTAAAATCTACCTCTCACAGTCCACTTGATGAAAATGACACTTTGGTGGGTGCATTTAATTGCATGTATCCAAAAATAAATATAACGTTAATTGTAACTCATTTTAACTCCTTCATCATTTATGTTCATACCTTGTATGTTACAACCTTAGTATGTTACAACAAATAAATTGTTTTTATGTTTTATGGGGTTTGTTTAATATCAGTTATAGTATTTTTTTAAACAAAAATAATACATTTTAATATTTGTTATATTTCTGACAAATGTAGGAAGCAGGAAAAATCAGAACAAACATCCATGAACATGTACGTGACCAACAAAAGTGCTACACGTAAGCTTGAGTTACCTCAAAAGATAAATTGCTTCAGTATTAAATTGCTTTAAATTACTTTTAATGGTCTACAATTACTTTTGTATGTAAATGGATGTAAATTACTGTTATTTATTTTTCTCTTTACAGCAATTACACACGTCTGTATGCACCAATAGTAATCGAAAGTGATTCAGAAGAGTCAGACCAGAGCACACAACATGTTGAAAAGGAATGGTTGTAATTTATTAATTACTCTCAATGTCATGTTTCTAAATTTATTCACTCTATTTTTTTGTTGCATTATGATGTATTTGCTTAATCAAAACCTCTATGTTTTACAGCTCAGATGCATTCACTGCTGCAGACATTGTGTCAGATCTCTCACAGAAGATCATAAGGACATCTTGCAGCAGATTCAACATAAATCGAGCTAATGTTTGGGATGGAGCAGTTCGCGGTTTTAAACATGCATCATATGATCCATTGCATGGCATGCTTGTCAAATTCACAGACGATGAAGGCACAACTGAAGATGCAGTGGACACAGGTGGTCCAAAATGCAAGTTTCTATCCCTCCTAATGGACTGTTTAAGAGCACGGAGAATCTTTGATGGTCCAGAAAATAGGAGATTTCTCACCTTTAATAATGGAGGTAAATTATTTACTTAATTGTAGCTTTTAGCTGCACTATTCATCACTGTCTTCTTTTTCACTAAGTGTAGTAAAACAATCCTTTTCCTACAGCTGTCAGAGAAGATGAATACTTCCTTGCTGGGTGGATGATCGCAGTTTCTATTGTTCACGGTGGTCCAGGTCCTCGCTTTCTCTCAGATATGCTGTACGATCACCTCACTGGTAGTGCTGACATTAATGGAACAGTTGAGGATGTAACAGATAAGACCATGAAAGCAGCTTTAATTGAGGTGCATTCAATTTTCTTTTAAGCTTATTTTGTTAAATTTTTGTTCCGATAAAGGTTTAAGGATTAAAAGTTACAGACCTGTTTATATTGGCTTCATGAAAAATATATTAGAATTTAATTGTTTTTATTTACCCCAGATATCCAGTGCAGCATCACTGCATGAATTACACATGCTTATTGACAAGTATGAAAGCTTGCTGCAGACTGCTGGATGTTTTGATTACCCACAAAGTGTAGAGGGCAAAGACAACATTGTGAAGGATTTCATACAATGGTACATAATATACAGAAACCAGTACTCAGTACAAAGGTAAGTCTTGTTCCTAACTTGAGAGAATATGATAATTATCAGTGTTATCATTATCATCACTTTGAGATGATGTTTGGCTTACAGATTTAGGGATGGGCTTTCCACCCTGGATGTCATCCATGCCCTGGAACAACATCCTAGTGTATTCAGACCCTATATGTGCTACAGTGTTGACAGACTAACACCTGAATCTCTGGAGGGTGTCTTCAAGGCTCTGCTCAGCGAAGCTGGTAGCACCAGACGACAAGAAGAAACAAGAATTCTGGGATACTGGAGAGATTATCTGCTTGAGAGGTAAAGGATTGAACGTTACATTTTATTGTTGTTCATTACATATTTAATGATATTCCATTGTTTGTTTGTTTTTCAGAACAAGAAACAGGAGTCTCCCTCCAGGACATCCTAATGTTTGCTACAGGATTGGATTCACTGCCTCCTTCAACAATTGTGCCTCAGCCCCGACTGAGTTTTGAGAGGACTTCTAAATTCCCTATTGCAAGCACCTGTGCCAACACAATAAAACTGCCAATGTCCAAAAGTTATGAAGAGTTCAAAAATGCAATGGATTTTGGTATTCAAAACTCACCTGGTTTTGGATTGCACTGAGTAGAACAATGTGAAATGTTAAAGGGATAGCTCACCCACAAATGTAAATTGTCACAATTTATTCACCCTCATGTTGTTCCAAACCCGTATGAGTTTCTCTCTTTCTTTTGTTGAACACAAGGTGATATTTTGAATAATGTTGGTAACCAGACACTTGACAGTATTAATTGACTTCCATAGTAGAAAAAAAATTACTGTGGAAGTCAATGAGTACTGTCAAGTGTCTGGTTACCAACATTCTTCAAAATATCACCTGTTTTCAACAAAAGAGAGAAACTCTTATGGGTTTAAATAAATTGACAACTTTCATTTTTGGGTGAGAAATGCCTTTTCTTTCTTTTATTTGTTTAAATGTGGGCCATGTTCTTTAAAGTTATGTAGTTCTCCACACCAGCCTCCCAGGTGTAAGATGTAGTCAGATTGCTTTGAGCATGTAGTTCTTCAAAGTGTGCCTGCAACTGTCCATCTCCACATGTGCTACGAGTAAGTTCAACGAAAAACTTGTTCAAGTTTTCCTGTGAGATGCAAAATCCACATTCTCTTCCATTAAACCTTTGAATAAAAGAGCCATTATATTGTTTAATATGAAAATTCAAAGTACAGTATTAAACGCAGTAAAGGTTTATTGGTAATTCATTCTGTAATTAGTCGCCTCGCCCCAAAATATAACTACTAAACCTCATGCCAATCCAAAGTTGAATGACTTTCTTCTGTGGAGTAGAATTTTAGCCTCAATCTCCTTTTTTCACTTTAATTTTACAGCAGAACAGGGAATAAAAGTTAATGTTATGCGAGACATTTTATAATGTATCTCCATTTTGTGTTCTATAGAAGAAAGTAAATCTCATGGCTTTGGAACAACATAAGGGTGGATGAATGATAGCAGAGTTTGACATTTTGTGTTAACTAATATCGTAACAATTTCATTACAAAAATGAAAAATTGTTAAATACAGTCACATACCAACCTTTGTGGAAGAGCATACATTGCATCTGGTTTACCAGAAGGACAGCGAGACTGTTGAACTACCCTAAAGGTGTGAGTGTTCCATATTTCTTTGCATTCGTCAAGGTCCTTCTGCAGTACACTGTAGGATCTGTCTCACAACAGACCCACCTACATGATGGA